TAGGTTTCTGAAGTCTGTGATGTTACAGACCCTAGCCAGTATTACTGAAGGTATCGGCATAGATCACTGTAATTCCATCTCAGTGGATGATTGTACAAAACAATGGATTGGTTTTCATAATGTCCTCAAAGAACTGAATGTGGCAAACAAAAAACCCGAATTGGTTATATTTAAAGAGAAAAAACTTTCAGAGACTTGGACTGAAATTTCAATCTTTAGTGTATTACATGTGTCAAGAAGTTCACAGAATTAATTTCTTGGTGAGCTACATCCAAACCCTTTTGCCCATGTCTTCTCTACACCCTTAGGCCTTGGTTTTCGTGTGAGGAAAAAACATTAACTATGCACTGTCTGTTTATACTGAACTTTAGTGATGCAATTGTTGTGATGATTCCTATACCAATGTCTAACCCTATGACAGATTTACTGTCTGCCATTTTATCTTCCTAATGTTCTTACTAAGGTTCTTCCATTCATTAAAGAAGTGGGGAGTGGGGGGCAACAGTGAAAAGTCAACAGTAAAATTCCATTTAAAGAAACAGGAAGAGACTGGTTTTGATGTTTGGCCTGAGGGAGTTTGCATTCCCATTCTACTTTTGTGATTTTCTCTTATACAAAGGACCTCTCTGTGCCAGGAAGTAGTGCAAGATCATTGGAACTATGCTGATAGAAGTGCAATGGAGTTATGAAAAATGCTAGCTTCAATAGTAAAAACAGTATAGCATAAAGCTTAATCTCTATATAATGTACTTTACACAGGTTTATATTTATGCATGATTTCCACACTCTAGGTAGTTTCAGAACTGGAATTTCCAAATATACAGCAATTAAAATATGTGTTTATATGAATAATTAATCTTACACACCACTGCAAGGAGCTGGGCACAGGGAGATGCTTCACCCCCATTTCAGGTTGTAACTATGAAATGAGCGTGTAGGCAGAATTTTTCAGATTTGCCAAAGAGACTCGAAGAGCCCTTAAACTCCCTGGAAGGAGGGGAAAAGCTCCACCTTAGAGTTCCCTGGCTGGAAGGGCATCAGGCAGGGGGAGCTCTCCACGTGCCGTGGCGCTGAGCCTCTCTTCCAGTGCTGGGGCAGCAGCTGCTCCAGTGCAGCCACACATCCTGTACCTCCACAGGATGGGAACTCCAGATTGCATTGTAACACCTGACCCAGGCTTTATGCATCATGGAAGTGCTCTGTCATCTGCAAGGGACTAGCTTCTAATTCGCCATCGCAGCTGAGAGCTGGGGCCTGAAATGCAGGGAGAGCGTTTTCAGGATGCCTGCTTAACTGAGTCAGTGGAAGGAGATATGGCTGCAGTACTTTAAATAAACAAGATAGGTGCACACTGATGTAGACTATGTAAATAGTCTACATATGAAATTGAATGGTATTGTCTATGTATTACTAAGGTCACAAGAAGTGCTAATTTCCATCACATAGACTTTGTATATCTGCAAAGAACAAACCTGTAATGAGTGTTTTCAATCTTGGCTGAAAAAACTGTGCTTAGTAAGAGCACTTTTTTCAATTTTTTTTTCTATCCAGTTTGGCTAAGCTATGAATAGTTATATGGGTTGTATGAGAAGGTAGAATTTTCATCTTTGGTATAATTTGTTTTAGTGAATCTGGTGAAAATAGTTTGATTGCATTTCAAGTACAGCTTATTCCAACTTGTGATTGTTTTGTTGCTGGTTGGTTTGGTTGGTTTTTTCCCATCTTGCTAAGTAAGGTTTGAGTGACCTAATTGTGTTGTTTGAAGAAGTGTTAGGTAAAAGACTTCATTAGCTGAGTTCAGTAGTTACTTGGTTGATATTTTTGTTCCAGTATTCACAGTATAAGACATTACTCTTGCATACTAGTTCATTTTTTGGTTTGTTTTGGGTTTGGTTTTTTGGTGTTATGTCAGTCCAGAATAATATACATTTCTGGAGGATCCTTTTTAGCCCCATTCTACTTCATCTTGCCAGAAAACAGGTTCTCTTATTAAGTGTTCATTCTTTACAAAAGTAATTGATAGGAAAATTATATTTCCCTAATTGGAACATTTGGGTCAGCAAATCAAATACTCAGTTTAATACAGCTGAATATTGAACCCACGTTCTAAACAGAAGTGCATGGTTTACCATAGTTTTATATTTCAGTTTGGCTTTCTGGCAGAACCATGAATTCGGGTGGGATCTGTAAAGTGCTGAGTACAGTATAACTGTTACAAAATCTACTTTATGTGATTGCTCTAACTCTTGGTGTTCATCCTTCATATGACACTTAATATGTTTCTCTTTGTAAGTTTATTTATTAATGTTCTGTGTTTTTAAATGGCGTGTTCATTCATGTGTTGGAGGTGATTAACTTTTTCAGCATTGCATTTATTATGTTTGTCTTGCCCCTCAGTATATTGAATATTTGTTTGTGACCATCTAGTGAGGGTTTTTTTGGCCAGAATTCCTTGGTTTGTTTGCCTCTTATTTCTTATATTATGTTTATTTTAAAGTGTCAATTCCGTTTTAATTAATAAATGTAAATCACCACCTAATGCTAATTTGCCACTTGTTAACAAAGCAAATATGCCAATAAAACTTCTTGTGATGTGCAATTTTTTGTAGTCAAGTGTAAAATTATCTTCTATAACATAGCATACAGGTAGGTAATATAATTTCAGTCTTTATTAATATTGTGATATCTGATCTCGGGTACGCAAAGAATAGGGTTTTTAAATTGCGTGAGATGGTACTTGGATTCCTAAGTCACCTTGAAAAACATAGCAGATAGTTTAATCAGTGTGATCTGCTTATATAAAGTTAACCCAGTATCTCCTCTATTTCCCCAACTATACTGAGAATTTAGTTTATGTAGAGCCCATCACTGTGGCATCTGTAGTATTTTTTTTTTCTTAATAATAAAACTATAAAGGATAGAAAACTGAAGCTTGATCTGGGTTTGTTATCCTTCATGACATTAGAGCACTGTTTTGTTGATGAAATTATTAAGAAAAAAAAGTTATTTATGTTTTGTTTTTTTTCAGAAGTTCATTTAAGTGAGCAGAAATTACAATAAGGTTTTGGATTGCTGATTTTTTTTTTTTTTTCTAAATATGGATTAATAGAGATCAATGAATCTTTTCATTCCTTTTTATAGGGGAAACTTCCTTCTACTGAGCTCTTTAGTTTACTTGGAGAGATATAGATTTCAAAGATAGACTGTTGAGTGGAAAAGGAATTGACTAAATGGATGCAGCTGGAAAGTTGTGGGCAGTGTATCTATGTCCAGGTGGAGGCTGGTATCAAGTGCTGCCCATCAGGACTCCTGCTTTGGGACTCTTGTTTTGGTGGTGTTTTAGTATTTTCATCAATGACACAGTGAGATTGAGTGCACCCTGGGCAAGTTGAAGGACAGGATGCCATCCAAAGGGACTGGACTGCCATGACTTCTCAAATATCATGGATGGTGACTTAGACACTTCCTCTGCCGGTTCCCTCACAATCTGCAGATTACATCCGGTCCATGGACTTGTGCACCTTCAGGTTTTTTAGATGGTCTCAAACTTGAACCTTTTGCAACATCATTGTGAAAATCCTTTTAATTTAAATACCTATTTTTTTATCCTTGACACCATCCCATAAATTCCATGTACTTCTAAATCATGGTTTTGACCTACTCATAGTATTTCTTTTCTGTGGCCAGATAAATAAATAAATGCAAAAGTGAAAGTGACAGGGAGGTAGGCATGATGGTGATAATACCATGTGCAGTTTTCATCCCTTTGCCAATTCCTTAAAAGCACTTGAGAGCCACATTTGTAAGTTCAGGAAACCTGAGGAAGTTCTCAAATGGAAGAAACAAACCAAAGAGCATAAGTCACTGCATTTAGCAGTTAGTGCTTGCATGTAAGCAGTGAGTCAGGAAATTTGGCAACAAGAATCAGATAGGCAGGTTATTTATTAAAAGAAGTAATCAGAAGAAATCAACAATTTCATAATCACTTTATTTAAATTTCTGCTCTGGATCTACCCTTGGTCTTTCACCCAGGGTAGTCCTGGAATTGCTTTATTTCTTTCAGGACTTAAGTTGTGGACTGTTGCTTAAGTAACTTAAACTAACTGACCTTTCAATATCTGTGTAGTTTTGCTTTAATTCACACTGCCCTTTGTTTGCCAAGTGGTTATTAGGAAATAAGTGTTGGCTTTTAACTGTTCTTGAATTTCCAAACAATGTCAAAACAACTGTTTTTCAATCTCGGAGACCAACTGAATTTGCAGTCTCCTGGTCATCTTTCAGAAGAAAGGATTTCCAGTGAAGTCCTTACAATTGTGGTTACATTCTCATCATCTGCAGTATGATACTGGGAAATGTTTCCTTTCCCTGTTCCCTGAAGGATTTATGGGTTGGGGTTGGTTTCAGTTTTTTTAAGTTTTTAGAGTTAAAGCTCTGATCTTCTACATGAAGAGCTAAAGAGAATATGTGAAAGACTGTCACAGTTTACAAAGTTACCACTCCTGCCTCATCATCGCCATAAATGCATAGGGGATTGGAGAGTGTGTATTTCAGGAAAGCATGACATGCTTTGCTCTTAACCTCTTCCCTCTTAGAATCAGTACAGCAATCTTATTCCAGTCAAATACATAAAATTAGTGCTGTGTACAATCAACTGAGCAAACAGCGCTTTGAAGCACATCCTACTGCTTTTTCAGGTGTTTGTTCTGAATACCAAGATTTTTACAGACTAGTTTTACAGAAAAATTCACACAGATAAAACAATTTGTTAGTTTACTTTGAACCAGGAAACAACTGGCTGACTTAACTAAAGCTTTCCTGAAGTATTTTAGTCCAAGGCAGATGGCTGGTATGGAAATGCTTATCTAAATTGGGCAGGTTACAAGCAGCTAAGAAATGGGTATTTTAAGACAGGAATTCCCCAGCTAGGCTTTGAATGACTGATTATCTCTGAAAAAAAACCTAAAAAAGGAGTCATAGTAGTCAAAAAGTGAACAACCCAATTTCATAGAAGTCAAATATTTTATTACCAAAAGAGTTATATCAAAGTAAGAAACTGCAAAAGAGTAATAACTATAAAAATACTTCTATTTATTCAAAATAAAATATGAGCACTTTATTAGTGAAATGCCAATATATTATTCTCTGACAATATTCACATATTTTAAGTCATGTTTGCCTAACATCTTAAAACATGTTACATAAAAAATTGCATATGAGAAATCACAATCTGAAGCTAAGGAATTCTAGCTCCTCCTGCAGCTAACTCTGGGTTGATCAAATGAATGAGTGTAGTGCTGTTTCCTATGGGAATCCAGGGCATCCGACAGTTTCCAGTCAACTGAACAACTTACATTCAGGCACCTTTTTCTTCTTCCACAGGATTCAGTCTTGCCTGTGCTTCAGCCAGCAGAAGCATGCTGCATCTCTCAAAAATCAGTACCCTTCCTAAGTTTTTCAAAAAGCTAAGTTTTTCCTTGTTTTTCCAAACCCAAATCAGTTAGCAGACCCATCAGACCTACACCAAAAACACTTCTGTGTCAGGAGAACATATCCAAGATAAGCTGCTGCTTTGGTAAATTGTTACTTTTAGTCCTTGGTATGGTTTGCATAGACATAAAGAAACCAGCTACTTTTTCATACTCTTTTTCTTCACCTGCAGATTCCAAGATGTTTTTTAGAAATTCCAGTAGACATGCAAGTGGCTGCTTTCATATAATAGTATTATAAAGTTACTTGAAAAATCATAAAATTCAGAGTAGTTTCCAGAGCACAAAGGTTGGACACAGATGTTTGCAGAGTTCTTTGTTTCACATGCTGGTCTTCTAGTTCCACTTCTTGGACTTCAGCAGCTTGGTTCAGCCATTTATGTTTCTGTCATCTCCAGGAACAAGGTACAGTAGCCTTCCATCAGAATTCTGGCATAAAGTGTTCATATAAGCAAGCAAGGTTACTTGAAGAATGCATGTAAAATGCAAAGATACCAAGTAATGCCACTTTGAAAGAAAAGAGCAGGATTCACCTGGAATCACCTGGAAATTAATTTTTCAAATTTATTCCAGCAGGATCGAAGGCTAGATATATTTTCTTTCAGTTCACAAACTTCTTGGCTACATTTCTTTTTGGACTGTTCACTTGTCTCTGTATCTTCTATTCTAAATACATGTGAGCAAACCTGAAACAGAACAGATTGTATTGTTATCTGAAAACTGTTTATTCTATTCCTTCTTTCTATAGCCACCTTTCAAAGCAAACCAATTGCCTTACATCTGAATCCTGGAGAGACCCTGCCCATGGGACTGTGAGAATGTGGCTTAAACTCAGAGCAAATAAGGACACCTGAAACCAGTGTGTCCAACTAAGAACATGTACTTTCTCCATCACAGATTAAAATTTATCATCCATTGTCTGAAGGACTGAGAAAATAAAGCCAATTAATTTGTGAGCCAAACTTTGACCATATGTGTTAAGACTAGTGGAACAAGACAGACCAGTTCCAGGGGCTGGTGCTGTGCCCTAGTGTTCAAGATCTCAGCCAGACAAAACTCCTGTGGTTCTTGTTCATTTTCAATATCTGCTCATAATTTTTTGCTAAATTAATTTAATTGGGCTTTAAATAAAAGCAGGAATCCATAAGGTTAGGCAGGAGTTGCAAGGGTGACACTGACTTCTGTGTCTTCACTGGGATACCTTTAAAGTAAGGCAAATGTTGGATTCACCAGAGGTGACAAAGCAAAATATAGACACTAACTTACTTTAAAGATCTCATCCCAGACTGTAAGTCTCTCCACTTCAAGGAGAAAAATAAAGAGATAATGAAGCCTTCAGTCCATCTCTTTAAGCATTTTATTTTTGGTGCCTATGTGGAGACTTTTTGACGTTGGTTAATATTTTTGTGTTCAATAGGTAACACTGAGCCACACTTAAAAGAACACTCTTCCTTTGCTACAGTAGTCAGTAGATCACTGTGCTACATTTAAGTGGCACCTCAAAAAGAAGATTCTGCCAAATACTAGAAAAACAAATATTATCATACCTAATTGTTCTTGTTGAATTTGAGAGATTGTAGTTAAAATAAACACCAGAGAGAATCTCACCCTAATTGTGGAGACAAACCAAATTAAACATTACTCTTAGGGTTAGTGAGAGTTACGACTCTGACTATACTCCAGAGAAGTTTAAATGCCTTCTTTGCACAAGTCTGGTCCTTGTTTCTCACTGGAGAATTAAGTGAAATTCAATTCACTACTGAATCAGAGCAGGTATCTTCACCATAGACTTCCAGATGGTTTTCTTAGTCTTTGAACTGGGCTTAATGTCTATTACAAGACAAATGCTATACAGAGGAAACTTCCTCTGGCATAGAACATATGCCATGTGCAAGATATTTGTATCTTTTAGAGGCAGATGTGATAATCTGTATTGAAGAGCTCTAGAAAATAAGGCAAATATTTAAACTATTACACACTAAAGTTGAGTAAAACTCACCTTTTCTTTCTTAGGTCTTTCACATTTACACTGTAGAACCTGTAATGTCCCACATGAGACGAATGCTGCTTTCTGTCTAAAGGCTTTGCTGATTCTCTGCTTATTATAGAATCTGAGCATGTTGCACGCCATGCTCTGTAGTGATTCTATTTCCTGTCAAGAGAGCAAAGAAAAACATCCTGAAAAGTTTGTGCACCATTAATTATTTGTAATGTTGGTTTATATTTTAAAAACTACAAACCCTCCTTTAATTACTATTGGTTTCTCTTGCTTTCATAGTGCAAATCTTTTTCAATAAAACACATAACTAATCTGACTGACTTGCCATCTTTTTGAGATATTAAAAGCAACCATTTTTAGTAGTAATAATAGTAGCATAAGGATGTTAGGGAGAAATGACAGCTGTAATCAAATCAATTGATGCAGTTAGGAAAACAAATGATTTAATGATTTATGCTGCCAGTCCTTTTATCAAGTCATGATAAAATCTGTAGCAACAGCTAACAATTGTACTTTCTGGCATTTGAGATCTGCCCAAACTACTATTTTAAAGCTTCCAGGTCTGAAGTAAAAAGCTTAGCTAATACAACTTTATATATTAAAATAAAAAAAAAGAGATTGGGAAATTGTAATGTTTACTTCCATTGGCAAAAATAAGAGTTTCTATTTTGTTTTAAATATGAAAAATAAAGAAGCTTCATAGTAGGGAAAAAACCCCACATTTTGTGGACATGGAATTGCTTAATATTTAAATGTTTAAAATATCAATTTACTCAACACATCATATAATTCCAGATTCAAAAACAAACCACCCTAAATACTGTGATTTTACTTTTAAAACAAAATACTACCCTATCATGCTATTTTTTCCTGGACTGTACAGAGAACTCATTTGGCTTTGCATTCTCTACATTCTGAAAAGTTAAATTTTACCTCAGTATCATTGCAGAAAAACACTTTGATATTTTCTTTTTTATTATTTTTGCAGCACCTGTCACGATTCTCTGCAGACATATTTACCTGTAAAATATCATATATATTTAGACATGGCAGTACTGTGTCAGTGCTCAGTCACCCTCACAGTAAAAAGCTCTTTCCTGGTGTTCAGAAGGAACCTCCTGTGTGCTGATGTGTGCACACTGCCCCTGGTCCCATCACTGGGCACTGTTGATAAGAGCCTGGCTCTGCACTCTTTGCCCACTCACTGGAGGTATTTCTACACATTGATGAAATCCCTCTGAGCCTTCTCTTCTCCAGGCTGAACAGCCCCAGCTCTCCTCAGCCTTCCCTCATCAAAGAGATGCTCCAGTCCCTTCGGCATCTTAGGGGCCCTTTGCTGGACTCTCTTCAGTAGCTCCATATTTCTCTCATACTTGGGAGCCCAGAAATGGACACAAATTGGTTCAATTTAAATCTTCGTATTCTATCGAATTGCTTTGTTGTTTGGAAATTCTGAGACATAAAGCAATGTTTAAGTCTTACATTTGAATTGTAGCATTGAATACATTGAATACAATGTTTGTCAATGTTTGTCACAATAAATAAATGTCTCAGCTCTAGACAGATGGTAGCACTCACTTTGCATATGTAATAACAGAAGATGGCCTAAGCAACATCACATGGTCTTTTGCATGATTATAATAATTTATCAATACTTTATCCTCCCTTGTAGTTTTTTTTTCCACTTTCACACTTGTCATCAAGATGACAATGGAAGCCAAATCAACAGAAGCTCTGTGTTCTTCAGCCTGTATCCAGACATTCCAGTTAAGCCAAAGGGCTTTAAAAAAGTCAGCTCACAAAAGTATTGTTTTAACTCTCTGCACTTAGCCATGTGTATGAGCACATCAGACAGTTAATTCCTAAAGTTTTTCTGCAGAAATTGCCCGTATTTCAGTTCACCCAAGATAAACAGAACTTTATCCAGAAAGTGTTTTCAAAACCAAGAGTTTAGTCTGTCAAATATGCACTGACAAAGGAAAAACAAACACAAAACAACAAAACCAAATTAAAAACCACAAACCACCAACATCAGGAAGCTAATGCAAATGCACGTCCTTTCTTGCACCACATCAGATATTGCTGCAGTCACACAGCACCAAAATTTACAATTATGTGTGTGTATATATATATATGTAAAATCACCCTAAAAATGATGTATCTGTCACTTCATTTGTAAACTGCCATGAAATATTCCCATCCTCTCTAGTTTCCTCAGATCACCTTTAGTATAATGGTCAGTGACCACATCTGAAGGCAGTTTATTGGCTGTGTCTAAACCAAACTAAGGGAAATCATGACCTCAGAAAAGGCATTAGTGAAAATTTATTTACCTTACAGAGACCTAGTATATGACTCACTATCCTGCTCTGCAGCAAACCCATAGCTGCTCCAAACATCTGGCTGAGGAGCTGAAAGTTATTGACTTTGGCTCTGCAGTTGCAGGAAAGTGCCTACTGGGTGGTTGCTATCACACAACACACATAATATTTGCTGTTAACTTATTGTGACAGTACACTGATTATAAACAGAAGACAAATTTCTCTTAAATGAGGAAAAGACAAGACAGAAAAATATGAAGACACTTGTACAGTAGTTGCTTGTGCATTTCTTCTAGGAAGTAGAAACTTCAGAGCTCAGTATATTCCCATTAGTTTTCACATACATTAATTCCTGAAGGTTTTTTTTATGTATTTTATTTGATAACTCTTTTAGTTTTCATACAGTCTTCTATAAAACCCCCTATGTCTTAAAATATTGCAATAATATTTATTGTAACTAAAAAAGAAAATTGTATCTGGAATAATGGCATTGCTCCATTCCAATCCTTGATGGCACCATGGGGCACTGACTACATCAAGCTCCATCCTACAACAGGACAGTGGCAATGCATTGCCCATCCCAGGCCAGGACAGTCCCCCAGCCTCCCTGACCCTGCATCCTGAGCAGGGCTGGGAGGCAACTCATGGATCTCCACCACCAAAAGGCAGCAGGATCTGCCTCCCAGAGAGTGTTATTCCTTTGTATCATTTTCTCTTATGGGTCAGCTGTCTTCTAACTGCTCACCAAGAGAGTTTTTTTTGGTTCTCTAGGGAATACTTGTCTTTGTCAGAAATAAGACAGCAAACTAAAGGGAAAACGTATCTATTCTAATATAGCCATTAATATTCTCCTCAGATTTGATGCCTCATTCAGGATAAAGTAATTTTTCTGCAGAGAAATACCTTTCTCTCTTCATAATCTCAACCAACATAACATGATCAAAATGTTAAAAGATCATCCCCTGACCATAAAGGTATTTTGTTTCCAGATGAGGGTTGATGTGTCTTGGGTTGGAGGCCACTGCCATAATGCTCTGAAGAATGGTGATAGTTTCGTAAGTGTGAAGAAATGCAATGACTCCTGATTTTTCCCATGGAAAAAGGCTGTATATTATTTGTATTTCATGCCAATAGATCTTGATCTAAGACTGCAACAGTATGGTGAATTCTCATTTAGTGACAATCTGTCAGGAAAATAACATTTTTTTGTGGGAATGCCTCTACTAATACAACTGCTTTAAGTGTTTCCCCATGGAAGTGTTCTTGATAGATGAATTTAATTGCTAATAATTCATGAGGAAGAATTGAAAGGTAAATTTGGATTGGTAAACTGTTAAGAAACTACTTTGCAGATCTATAATAAATGTGGCTGATAAAGCCATAATGGAGGAGATTTACACATGAGAATATTAAATTCTTCTCTGCTGCCATCTAGAAAAGATAATTTTGGCTAAATAAGATATATTAATAGGTACAAAGAAACCTATTAAGATACAAACTTTTACTGTCAAATGAATGTTGTGTCTCTGTGCATTTGTACTCAATGGACAACATAAAACTTCAGTCAAGAACTCTAATTAGTAGAACAAATTACAGGTGTAATGCTTTCTTCTCTTGATAAAAGCATACAAACAGAAGTAGAAATAGTTTACAAAAAAGTACCTTCTAATCAAATATATGATGTATGGCCAAATAGTACATGTGTCTAACAACAGGCACAAAAACCTGTATCACAGTACATGCAAATAGGCACTATCCACAGATTTCAGAAATTTTAAAGAGAGTGAATTGTTTCACCTCCTCAAATAAAACCACCATTCCAGCATAATATGTGACTTTAAATAGGTCTTTTATCATGTTTTAACATTAGAGCTTTTATTATTAATTGTTAGCATCTAAAAATAATCAACATGTTTTGGAAGCCCAAGAGCTGCTACCTACCAGCTCATTGATGTCGTGACTTAGTATATTTTCATACTTCACACGGATTTCAGTTGGTTTATTTCCCATTGCACAACTAGATGCTTTCACTGGAGACAGAACAAGGAGCAGTGGCAGAACTGGTAAGGTAGATCTGAAAAAGGCTGGATTGCAAGAAGAACAGTTAGGTACATGTTAGTTAAAGTCACAGATTGTGTGCGGCAAGCATTGAGTTTTATTGGACCATAACCACATCGGACACATGTAGAGGAGTGTTTTAATCATATATGTTTAGACATTCAAGTGTTTTAACCTGCAGCTGAATCTCATCTCGACTGCCATTTTTCCTTTGATAACTTCTACAAATCCCCCTGAACACACCTCTATAACAGAAGTGTGTTTAAACATATTTTCAGGCTGACCAAATGTACAAAACCATGCCACTGGCCATAATATGAGATGCAACACAACCTTCTCCGCAAGGTATTTGCAATCTTTGTAAGCAAACTTCACTGCCCATCACTTTGTTTGTCCCTTTAGTGGACTGCCTTCCTTTCCTCTGACTCCTGGTCTTTTGTCATGCCATCCAGGAAAACATGAGTTCTGTGAGGATGAGCAGAGAGAAAACACCAAAACATCAAAAGAGCCTGAAGAAACTGACAGGAGGCTTCAGGTGACTCACTTGGTACTGGGAATGAAGGAGACCAAATACATGATAATATGTGATTAGGAATAATTGGACTCTGGCTTATTGCTAGTCTGGCTAAGACAATGCTTAAATTGAAGTTTTTGGGAAAAAACAAAACAAACCAAACAAACAAACAAACAAACACCCCAAAAAAACCCCACAAAAACAAAGGTATAAATTTATGATGGAGGACTAGCAAAGATCACAGCAAGTTCCTGGAGGAGTATGCAGTGTTTCTGCCCATCTTCATCACTGAGTAAGAACAGCAACTGCATGCAGGGCAGCTGTGGGATAGCAGCCAGGAAAGGAAGAGGGGATGCCTGGCCCCAGCTGCTACTTTCCTTCCTCTCTGGCAAGGATGGGCTGTTGGGTACAGCCAGTCCAGCACTCAAGAGATGGGCACCTCTGGACCTGGGCATCACTAGTAAATCACAGCCTCAGACAGGAATTTTGAACAACTAATAAAACTGCAATAAAACTTGATCATAATTTGACCATAACTTGACCCACTTTCTTCTGCAATGCAAGAACCAAGGCACACCACATGCTCACTGCCATTAAAAGAAGCACAGTCCCTTACAGCCCATCCCAGCCAACTCCCACCACACACAGCAGACTGAATCCTCAAAGAAGAATGCATGCTTTTCCTGACTAGTGAAGCCTTCTCTTTCTGATAGATTGCATGTGAACATGTGGTTATGTACACCTCTGTCCTAGAAACAGGACTGGAAAATTTTTACCTGTACAAGCTAAATCACAGAATTATTGAGAAAGCTGCCTGACAAACTCTAATTGGAAATTTCATGGGTTGAAAACCAGATTTTCTGACCTTTTCATATACTGATAATTGAGGTCTATTAATGTCTCAAGAAATCTAGCCTGATGAGCTAAGTGAATCTAAATGGATCCTACATGTAGTAAATTTAAAAACTCTGTAAGGTGACTCTATTATGATTTTCAAGCTCCAAGTGGACACACCTGACATCCACAGAGCTTTATTTCTGTAAATCTCTATGCTAACTATATCTCTGTTGAATAATTTATCAGTTTGAAGGACAAAGATTTAGTATTTTGAAAGACACTTGCAAAAAACTTTCAAGAATGCAATTATAGGGCAACATTTTTCCAACCTCCCGTTGCAGCTCTTGATTCCAGTGCCAAAGATGAACTGCAATGCTTGTTCACCAATAGAGTAATACCAACAATTTGGATATGCTGCTTCACAAATACTTGAAGGGAGGAAAATAGCAATCCTCTAAATTAAAACAATCTGACTCCACTTGAAACTTGGCTTGTCTAGCTACAAGTAGAGATAAGAGATAAGATATTGTATAGATTGCCAGTCTTTTTTAAATGAGGAAATTACAGAATAAAAGTAGGTCATGTGGTACACACTCATGGAGTCCCTTGAGCCACTGAAGGAAGGTTATCAAATTTTTTTCAGATATTCCTAAACTAGTCCTCTGGAAAAAATATTAGACAAGTGTCGCAAAAGGTTCTAGGAGATGTAGACTGAAAATTGAAAGGAATTTTCTTTAAGTTAAGTAACTTTGAAGGAATGGGAGTTTATGGCACTCCCTAGGGCCAGCAATTCAAAAGAAAGAGAGCATTTCTGGTAATAACCCATCTTTCCAGTAAACTCCCAGAAACTCCTAAGTCATATTCGGAAAGCCCCAAAGATTCTCCTAGAAAAGTCAGGAAGATCTAGTATTCCAGTATTTCCACATACTTTAAAAAAAAAAAAAAAAAAAAAAAAAACCAACCCCAAAAAAACCCCACCAACCCAAACCTCTTGGCTTTTTAACATTAAGACAATTCTGTGCATACAGCATGTCCTCGGGAGCACCCAGCGGGATCCTTGCAGCACAACCAAAATTGGGATGGGTGCCGCACGACCCACCCCAGTCTCGGCGGGCCGCTTCCTTTGCCCCCTTCCCCTCTCCGCATGCCGCAATTCCATAGGGGAACGGGTCACTGCCATTCTCTTCCCTCCGTCCCGCTGGACCCGTGCGGAGGGGCGCCGGGCGAGCACTCCCACCCGGGGGCGAGGCACCTCCGGCGCCGTGCCGCACCTGCTCCGGGTTTACCCGCGGGGCAGCAGATACCCACGGGAGGCAGATACCCACGGGAGGCAGATGCCCATGGGAGGCAGATGCCTACGGGAAGGCAGATGCTCACGGGAGGCAGATGCCCACGGAAGGCAGGTGCCCACGGGAGGCAGATGCCTACGGGAAGGCAGATGCTCACGGGAGGCAGATGCCCACGGGAGGCAGATGCTCACGGGAGGGCAGGTGCCCACGGGAGGCAGATGCTCACGGGAGGCAGATGCTCACGGGAGGGCAGGTGCCCACGGGAAGGCAGATGCTCACGGGAAGGCAGGTGCCCACGGGAAGGCAGGTGCCCACGGGAAGGCAGGTGCCCACGGGAAGGCAGATGCCCACGGAAGGCAGGTGCCCACGGGAGGCAGGTGCCCACGGGAAGCTAGACGCCACGGACAGTGGGAGCAGCGCGGACCGGCGCGGAGCAATTCCTCCCACAGCTCCCCCGCCCCACGCTGTCCCGCTGCCTCTGCCCTGCCCGACCTGCCCTTCCCGGCAGCAGGCGTGATGGGAACCGGACTCTTTTACTTTCATTCTACGGGAAAAAGACAAAAAAGAAAAGCAAAACTGGGAATTTCCCTGGCCGTCACCAAGAATTTAAAAGGCGCCGGGAAGCACCGCGCCGGCAGAGCAGGCGGGACGGCGGGGCCGACGGCTGGGAGACAGCGGAGCGGGTGAGGAGCAGCGCGGCCGCGGGCGCGGAGCAGCGCGGCGGAGCCCGGCCCGCCCGGGGCAGGTGAGGCGGGGCGCCTTCCGCGGAGCGGCGCGGTGCGGGGCGCGCTCCTTACCATGGAACATGGTCCGTGCGGAGGCTGTCGGGGAGCTGCGCCGACGGGTCCGCGGTCATGGTGGTGGCGCCGCCTCGGCCATGACGCCCGCAGCCCGCGGAGCGCCGCGCGGGGGCCGAGAGGGGCCGCGGCGGCCGGGCCGGGCCGGGCTCAGCAGCCCCCGGCGCCCGCCCGCCCGGCGGGGCCGCGGCGCGGTCCGAAGCGGCGGCGGGGCGGCCGGGCTTCGCCTTTCCCATGGGGCTCCGCCGGCCGCGGTACTTTCACTTCCTGCTCCGCCGCGGCGGTGCTGCCCGCGGGCCGGCGGCGGGCGCGGGCGGCTGCGCGGCCCCCGGGACCGGCGGCATCCCCGCGGGGTCGGCAGCGCCTCGGGAGCGGCAGTGGCGGGGCCGGGCTGTGCCGGCGGGGATTACATAGAGCCCCGGCTACACGCCCAGTGCCGTGTGTGCGGCCAGGGAGGGAAGGATGGGTCTTGGCACTACGCGTGGAAAGAGCCGCTCATCCGCGGGGATGATATCCTTAAAAAGAAAAAAAAAAAAAAGTCACTGCGTGTTGTGGAGTCGCTTTTTCAGAGGAGAGCTGCTTAGCTTGAACGCTTATGCGCTGCCCTTTTGCTCCGTCAGCTGGCCTTGGATGGGTTGTGGAAGGCGGGACTGCCAAGAAGGCTCTGTCTCCGGTCAAGGGTTATCCCAGGCGGTTGGCATGGGCTCAGAAGCAAAAGGTGGATGGTTTCTGCAGAGTTCATTGTCTACACCCTTTCCCCCGCTAGCTCCCTGCTCTCTTTCCCCCCACAAAATGATTTTGTGGAATCTGAAAGGATTAAAAAAGAATGGTGGATGGCTCAGGAAGGTGTTTCAGCCTGGAAGACACACAAATTCTAAAAGGCAAACCTGTAGAAAGGTGTGTTTTCCTTGGTAAATTCAAAATACGAAAATTTTCATGTGCACTTCTAAAGGCTTGGAATAAAACAGGGTGTGAAATATCCTAGCAGGGTCCCCTTCACATCTCCTGCACCAAAACTTTCTGAATTTTGAGTTCTACATCACTCTTCCTGCTCTGCATGAGCACAGAGAGCTGATTCTGTAGCCCCTCTTCTCAAAAGAGTCATTTTCTAAGGGGAGATAGATATTGAGGTGTGAATATTAAGGGGCAAATATGTGGAATGTTCAGGATAGTTTCCTCCCATTCTCTTGAACTGAAATTGTGCTGCTTCCTTCCTGTGTGAGGAGGTCCTTAGTCCTCTTTATTGTCTGTGAATTAGACTCTGCTTTAGATTGGCTATACATTTCTCATTTCTTTTTCTCTGGAAAATAATTTAGTCAATTCTTCTTCAGAAGTATTCTGTCAAGATTCAAGAGAGAGGAAGTTTTCTACCCCTTCAGCTTTGAGCTGCTTGATTGTACAAATGATTACCCATGACTGTGATTTGGGCAAAGAACAGGGATCAGTATCAACACAGTTCCATACAAGGAGCACCTGTACTCCTTAAATGAGGGCCAGGTTGGATGTGATGTATTGTTCAGTTCTTGAATTTGATCAAGGATTTTGCATCTTTCATGACTAAATTGTCTAGTTCTTTTTGTGTCTTAAGTTGTCACTTTTTTGCTTGTTTTCATTTACTGTTTTCTTTTTTCTCTTCTGTCAAATATTGTCTGAAAACAGCTCTGTGCTTTTCAATTTTCTGGCATGTGCAACTCAGAGAATGCCACAGGACTCTGCTTTTGGGGGGAGATTAGTACCTGGTGTAATGCAAGCATATTTGTGACTATCTGTTCTATGGTCTGGCACTTAGAGAGTTGCACTTTCAATAATTAAATGTTTTGAAAAAGCTGCACTATGAAGCTTCAGTCATGCAAAACTGTCACCAAAATCAACTTTCATTCTAGGCAAGTGGTTCTTCCAATTTCTTACAATAGTACATGTGTGTTCACAAAATGAGATAGTTTATGCAGATTGTCAGGGTGCAAAATATAAAGAAGAAACTTCTTTACCTTCTTTATTTATGTTAGTTTTCTGGCTGAAACATCAGGAAAACTGATTATTGCTTCAATTTAAATTTTTTCTTTAAATAATGTAATTGATAGAAGAAGTCAGTATAGTAGCTCAATGCATTAATGGAAACGTGACGGAAAGGTGATGCTGGAATCTTTTATAGGAGGTTTGCTCCTTTCTTCAGTAGTGGCAGGATTTTTTTTTTTTTTTTTTTTTTTTAAGGTGAAGTCTGGTAAATGTATGGGAAATATTTTATTCAGTCAAAGTGACAAATAGATGGTGTCATCTGTGCTTTGCCCCATCTCATGTGTTTAGATCCCAGACAATCCCTCTTATGTAACCTAACCCTGGACCATGGCATAAACTTGTGATAAAGATGTTATTTGATGTATTTGTATGTTAAATACTCAAACTTTGTCTGTAATTTTTATGTGTTTTTAAAAATATCTTGAATCACTCTATGCATTTTATTTTCAAAGTGTTTCTTTTAGTGATTTAGCAATATTTGGGTTTCTATTTTCTGAAAAGATTACATGCCAAAAAATCAAATTCAAGTGTTCTGAAGAATTCTGTATTTTTTTAAAGGAAAAAAAAACAAAAAAACCACCAACCAGTTGAAAAATTTAAAAAAAGGATTTTAAGATCGATTATGTGAATATTTTCTTAACAACACATTTTAATCAAGAAATCATGAAAAGAGTCCTGAATGTATAAAAGTCTATCCTAGCTGAGTCCTACCTTGTTTAAATGACTGGTATCAGTTTACCTCTTTTGCATAACACAGTTGATGCCAAGCTCTAATAGAGGCTTCTCCCTCTGGAGTGGAATTAAGCTGCAGCTTCTCTGGGGCTGTGGGTAAAACCTTTGGTGGTAGAATAAAATTAAAATATTTCTATAGAATTTCCGAGAAATTAGGTGTCCCACTTCACTTTCATACCTTGAGAATTTACAGAGTTGACTGTTTTAATAGGAGAAATATTACTTTTATTATGTAGATAATTTGACTAAGTAAGCTTCCAAATAAGCAGTCTCTGGAAAGATGTCATCCAATGCAGGGCATTACTGTATATGTGTGTTGTTTTCTACTTAGCAGTATTTTTGAAAATAACTTTTTAAACCATAAAAGAGGGTACTGCAAATTGTGTATCTAACAACTGAAAAGCACCAGTAATTTTAGCTGTTCGTGTATGAACATATGTCATGTTCAATGCATTTTCTGAGGACAGTTTCTCTAAGCAAGTTTAAATTTAGAGATCCAACAGTCTCCTGACATGGTCAAATTTATTCTTAGAAAAGCAGGCATTACGTATTAACCTACACCAGAATACTAATATTTTTACATGAGAGCTACATGATTGCAAAGCACATAATTTCTTGTTACAAATCAGTTCTCCAAAGACTAAGTACTTCTGGTTGTTGCTGTCTTTCTCCGGATGTTGCTTGTCAGCTTGAGAAGCTCTTTTGATCATGACTTTAGATTTGACTTTAGGCTGCTTGCAAACTTACAGTACCATTAGTGAATTATTGTATTATTGAATAGCTAGTTAAAAAGCTATAAATATTTTTATGTCATTTTGGAATAAAGAGTATGTGCTCCAGTTGTCACAAGCTGGTGGAACTCAGGAAAGTGTGACCACTGTTATGCTCTTATTTTTAAGAATAAATATGTCTGATAGTTAAATTTTTTTGCAGCTAATGGGGAGAGGTGGCGGGGGGGAGTGTGGAGGGGAGAAAAAGAGACATATTTGTCCCTACTCCTTCCACTAAATAAATCTGAACTCATAAGAGAATCCCTGCTTAGCTGGGATTCAAAGCTATATTTGTTGTGCACCCAAAACTCTCATTGATACTCAGGTCTGGGAAATTCTAATCTTCTGCTGTATTTAGACAAGACCAAGGGACCTGATATTACCATTGCACTGGAACAGCCATTTTTATTAATTATTGTTGCTACTTTTTGTGTACAAATCGTTTGTCCTGTCACTGAAGTGAGCACTGAAAAAACCACATGAACTGACTGATAAACAGGTTTTAGTGTGGAATTATATCTTACGTTCATCCAAATGTAGTGTATGGATCTCTTTTCTTTGGTGAGAATTAAAGAAAAAATATGTTTCTGGAAAACCATTAAGATAAGATTTGTGGACATGTGGGAAGCTCACAGGAATGTTTTGTTATCAAGCTGCAGAATAGAAGTGTTAATTACTTTCTCTTCCTGTGTTGCTGTGCAGGAAAATGCCAATAAAAATTTATCAAGAGCAATATGGCAAATAAGCATATTTTGAGCAACCAGCGCTAGGAAGGGCAGGTGTCCCAAGGGCAGCACTAGCAGTGTTGAGGGGATGGTGGCAGTCAGGCTCCTCACTCCTGCCTGCTGGGCCACTGCCCCAGGGCCTGGTGCATGAGCCAGGCTCTGCCCCAGCTTCCCCAGGACGGCGTCTGCTGGTGCCTGGGGTGCCCCCAAATCCCAGCTGGGGCTGTGCCCCCGGTCACACCGTCGGCTGGTGTCAGGTCCTCACCACCCGAGGTTTTGGACTGATTCTTGTTTGTTTTATAGCCACAGATGAGGCTGAAATACTCATTTCTCCCACATCCAAAAATTATGAACATCCTGTTCCTGCTTTAGTGAGGCACAGAAGAAAGAAGGGGTTGGGTGTTGGTTTCTGTCAATGCATATTCTTTTACTTTTCCTACGTTGACAAGTGCCTTTTTAGGGAGGAGAGGAGGTCTGGTAACAGCAATAATCATTGCAGATATTAACCCATATTGAAATTATGACTATTTCATTGTGTTTCAGGGTCATGAAATTTCCTTGGGGTTTGGTGTTGTGTTTTGAAGAGTTTATTTTCCAAAATTATAACAAAATATTTTTTATGATTTGAGTGAACCTGTGTGTCTTAGCGGTCTTTCTTTTTCAATGTTATATATACAACTTATATATACAAATTTTATATATACAAAAAAGCATTTCTTGAACTTTTTGATGTTCTCTTCTCCTTTACTGCCCATTATTTATTTTGAGAAAATGTGTTCAATGAGTTTATTTCAGGCAAACTGTCCCTGAAATAGTACCCATTTTTTTCTGGTTTTTAGCTTTTCCTTTTTTTAAATTTTTATTTATTTTTAATTTTTTTTTTAATTTATTTCCTTTTAATATGCTTTTAATTTATTTTTTTTTTTTGAGAACTGGAAGTCTTCCTCCTAATTTTAAAGGCAGACAGAAAATCACCCTGAAAAGTGATAGCAACTTAATTTGACCTACTGTGGTTGGGAGTAAAATTAAATATCCACAATTTTTAGAGCCAGAAGACTACCTGAGGAATGAGTGCTGGGTCTTTGACAGGATCTGCTCGTGCGGGATATCGTGATGGTTCCTTAGCCGATCCCAAAAGTACAAAAAGGCAAACAGCAGGGGACCATCAGTTTAATCACGAAAATGCACCTTTATTTAGGTGCCAGCAGCAAATGCGATAGAGGGGACAGAAAAAGGAAATAAAGAATAGAGAGAAAAGAGGGAAAGGGGAATATAGCTACCACTGTCCGAGACGAGATCCTCGATGGTCCAGCCGCATAGATTTGCCAT